ATTTCCCACAAGACCATAGGATTTGGATTAGTGTACACTGAAAAGACACAGCTGAGTTACATATGCTACTCAGGAATGGCAATCTGACTGTGGAAACAATCTCTAGGAAGGCCAAATCATCTCTTGAGGGTGGAATAGACCTACTGACTCTTTTGTAACAAAGGCTAGTGAGTGAGAAGGGTAGCAATTCTCATGGGATACTTTCAAACTATACTTGGTCTTGAAGCTCTGTATTCCAATTTAATCCCTGTGATACCATGTTTCAGAGTAAGTAACACGGTGAGTCACTTCCAATTGCAGAAGTGAGTTTTATTACTCAGGTGTGTTGGAGGATAAGTAAATCCCATTCACCTACATGATGAAGACAACCAAATCTCTCTCCTGGGTTGCAAGCCCTTACTTTAATCTGCCTACCTACTGATTCTTCCTGGATATCACAGAGGGATCCCAACTCGATTTTTCTAAAATCAAAATAGTTCCCTAAAAACGTGCCTTTCTATACTCCCTATTAGTAGCTACCTGATTGTCTAAGCTAGAATCCAAGCCTCATCTTAAAACTTTCCCTGTTTCTTCAAACCCACTATTCCCATCTATTCAACTCTGCCCTGATGCAACTACCAACCTCGACAGTTCTAATCTTCTATTGCCTATTGCCCCGTATAACCCATCCCTCATATTAGAAGGTCACTCTAAAACAATGGACTGCATCATTTTCAAAACTTGACATTTCCTGCTACTCACAGGACAAAAAAAACATGGGAACATGTGGCCAGTAAGGGAGGCCTGGGGAAAAGAGTTGCCCAATATCATGGCCCAAATCCAAACTCCTGAAATGGGTCATGTAGATCGGAACACTGGGTGTTCTGGGCACTAAGTGAAAGACCTTTGAAACAAAATCAGACTATAACAGCTCCAAAGAACATGGTCAGGCCCAGTTGCCTGGGCAGAAGGCTAAAGGGCTATGATAAGAAACCTGCAGGGCAACTAGCCAGCTTCTGTGCTAGCCCAGGAAGAACCCCAGCCAAAATGGCAGAGGGACCCTGAGCAAAGGACCTACGACACCTCTCCCAACATACATGCTTGCACACAGACCCCACACCTTGACCACACATTACCATCACCTCCACCATTCCCAGCTGAGCACACACCCCAAGGAGGCCCAAATAACAAAGCACCTGCCAGATTAATTCCTCCAAGGGCCCAGAGGAAGTCAGACCAAAGTGGCCCCATCAGATTTCACCTCTACCCAGGGAACAAAACAGCATGTCAGTGTGTATAGGAAAGGTCAGGACTTCTGGTGAGCCAAATGGACAGTGAAATCCCCACTCCCAGGGAAGTTATGCAATCTCCTCCCATTACACTGCCCTACTGATAAAGGCACTATCAATTTATTTTGTAATCATAGACAGCTTTGATAAAGCTGTGTGAACAAAAACCAGTCTCTCTCTGCCAGGAATTTTCGAGACCTCAAGCACCTGAACACCAGGGCTGGGCACTGGAGCCCCAGAGACCTTCCATAACCCAGCCTATGTGCCACTAAGCAGTAGCTGGATGGAACTACTCCCATTTTCTAAAATCTTTCTTTGCTTATGCTGCTCTCTCTGACTAGGATCCGTTTGTTAAGGCCAGATAAATCTTATGTATCCAGTTTCAACCACTTTCTCCTCTGGAAATCCTTAACCAGCCCTCACTCCCCACCACATGCCTTCCGTTTTATGGAGCTCATACCATTGTACTATGAGGGAAGAAACTGAGTCTTAGTCATCTGTCTTCCATACCTCATATAATCCATAGCCTCTCTTGGGTGGACCACTCTTATTTGCTGAATGAACTTAAAAGTCAGCTCATATTTGATATGACAGCAAGAAAATGAAGTTATATTGGAAGTTACATGGAAAGAGGTTTCCTATTAAGTGCAATTCTATTCTCAATCCAGCCAAGCCAAAACAACTGCACTCATCTTTTTGCAATTATGCCCAAAGGTAGACAGAGAACAAGAAACAATTTATGGCTCCAGCCTCTAATGGATGGCCTAGAGCAATTTGTCCATGGACTTCCTATGGTGTGGTGAGAGGGCAGGTGTCTGCCATCCAGTTTCTCTGAGTACTAAGGTTTACAATGTAAAGACTATCCCTGTGTTTCCTATATCCATTAGACACTTCAAGAAAAATGTTTCCTTGAAAATAATGAGCTTTGAACTCACTGTAGTTGAAGACTCAAATAGTCCAGAAATGCTGAGCAACATCTGAAAACATTGGAAACTAAACAGATTATGCTGCCTACAACTGTGTGGGGTATTTGCTCAGGATGGCAAAGAGGAGGAACTGAAGTGATGGAAGATCTGCCTGGGAAGAAGGCTCAGGACAGAAAAGTAGGAAAACAGAATTAAAGTCTACCAAACAGATTGCTATGGTAGGATTAATAGGAACGTCTTAACAGAGGAGATTTGAATCGTTTATTTAGGGCACATAAAAATTACTCACACAACATACATTTTAGTCCTAAACACATTTTGCCCCAATATGTAATTCAGGCTAACTTATGAATTATTTTCTTGAAGTTATTATTTCAAGAAAAATCTATGTACATTGAATAAAACTAGTTATAAGAACCTAACGACTTTTGGATATGCCTCATAAATAAGCAATCTGTGACGAAATAGGAAGTATGCATGAAACATTTCTGCTGCATACTAAAGCACTGATTGCTGCAGCAGGAGCTCAACAGGCCTCATTTTTCACGGAACATCATCCTTACTTGAAAGAACAACTGAAAAACTATGGTTATTGAGACTTGTGTACCTGACCTACATTTTCTCAAAAATGAGCAAAGTGAGCCTGACACACCAAGAAAAACTGACAGTATTTGTTGCCAATGATAAAATTCAAACTTTCAAGCGAAAATTTGAATTTTGGAAAACTGCTTCCCAATAAAGATACACAAGATTTAAAAAGAGGTTTTTTTTTTTTTCTTTTTTGGCTAAATGGTACAGGGTTTTGGAAATAGATTCAGCTTGACAAGTTCACAGCGTTTTTGGTTTGCACCCTTCTAACTGGTTTTAATAACTTCTTTTATTATCATTTATATTGCCTACAAAAACAGAGTAGGTTAGGCCATGTCAATCTAATTGCCTAAAATACATTTGCCAAAATTTTTACATTGTATTTTGACTGTTCTATGGCAAACATTAAGCCACTGTATTTTGACTGTTCTATGGCAAACATTAAGCATTTGAAGAAAAATCTATCAGTATTTCATACAAATCAAATTAAGAATCTACAAATAATATACTGACACACTAACTTCAAAAAAAAAAGGATGACTAGAATTTTGATTTCCTTTGGTTAGCTTTTTGAGTAACATAACTTCAACATGTTACTCATAATACTAAGAAAGTGGGAAAATTGTTATCTAAGTGTGAAAAACAACTTTTTTTCACCAAAATCTTTCAAAGTTAAATCCCTGGTAAAATAACATATCCCAAAGACATCCAACTTTTGAAGAGTTACTTGAGAAAGTAAAACAATGCTATAGAATGACGAGTTAATGTATAAGACTCCAAAATGGCAAAAAATAAAGCCCTTGTTGAATATCTTAGATAATATCAAATCCACTAAGCTACCACTGTCATTAGGTACAGGCTTCAAAGGGTAGGTTTTTATGACGTTTTGTTTTATTTCTGGCCTAAAGGAAAACTGCAATAATGTTAAAATATTCTTCAAACTTTACCCTACAACTTCTACTTGAGGATACATCAACGTTTCAACAATCCATTTCTTCTCAAACATCATCACCTGGTTTATACATCTCACTGAACCCCAAAATTTATTAAAGAAAAAATCTCATAGTAATTTTAAGAAATGAAGCAGTCTGGATGAGGTTTCCATCTTCCCTCCCTGCTGCAATTCATTACAATAATCTACTACACTCAAGACAATGGACTGATAATTCCATCACACAATTCTGCGAGTGTTTTCACTCTGTAAGGGGCATTACATTTGTAGCTAACTCGGCACAAACAGCACTGGTTCAAATGACTATTCGTGTGTAAGGAGAAACGAGAGAAGATGCTCACTGTTAGTAAGTAATTGAACATTAAATACACAGTAGCTAGAAAAAACTCAGAAAAAGTTTTGGAAATATGACGTATTTTAATATTCATGTGAAGTTCCTATTTCTCATTCCCTAGAATTAATGCCGCATTGGCTCCTTTTCAGCAAAATGGGGAAGAGGAATTAGTATATTCAATAAACAAGTTAATTCAAGTAGATTTTACAAAAGTGTGTTTTGCACCAACGGCCAAAAAATGATACAACAAACAGGTTAACAGTTTAATCTACAAGTCACCTTAATAATGGTTATTTTAATCACTATTTTCTCAGAAGTCATCCTAACAAGTAGCAAAGGCAACCTACCCTTGAAAATCAGACCCAAGCAACTAAAATAATAATGAGGCATTGTTTTTACAAGACAACTCATCACCTTAAAATTCCCGAAGTATGGCACAAATGTCCACTGACCCCATTCTAAAAAAGCGCCACAAGACCCTAGAATACATACACTGTCGGACTCAATCAGATTCCCTGCTGTTGGCTCCTCCATATTTTTACAACCAGTTCTTATACCCGAGGGTGTTTGAATAAAACTACAATTAAGCACTGAGTTTAGGCTTAAAGACAACATTAAATGGATAAAGTTGTCATGAACACTCAAAGCGACTAGGGCATTCCAGGCCATCACACTAATTTTTGCTATGTCTACTTAATGCAATCTTTTAAGATATTAACAAACATACATTAACCAAATGCATGCATTAACAAAACTCACATACCAAAGCCATGCTCTAAAGCAGTTTGACACGTCTAAAATAACATTTCAAACTGAACACTTTTCTGCGGGCCCCTGTTTAAACAGCTTCCGAATCCCAGAAGTAACATCCTTAACAGCCTGCGCTGCCTGTGATGTGACCAGGGTAAGCGAGGGTGTGTCTCGGTGCTTACCGATACCCGGAGCCACATAGATGAAGTACAGACAAGACGAAGAGAGGGAGAAGAAGAAGATGAAGGCGAGAAGGGAGCGATTGGAAACCCGCATCATCCGCCTGAGCATAGACATCTTCTCTTCCCAGCAAGCAGCCCAGGCTGCGCTCTTAGGCCGGACTCGGGGCCACTGTCCAGGCCCTAAACTTCCATAAATGTGCTGAGAACCCCGACACTGCAGCGGGGTCCACGCGGGGAGGCTCTGGAGACAGGGACCGAGCGGAAAGGAGGCAATGGGAAGGAGCTGATGGAATGAATGGGAGGCCGGAGAGTCGGGGGAGGGGAGGCGCGGAGGCCAAGGAGGGAAGAGGTGGAGCGGGGAAAGGGGACGGGGGAATCCAAGGAGGCCTGGGAAGGGCAAGGAGGCGCGTTTTCTCCGCCAGGCAGCGGCGGGAGGAGGGGCTGCAGGTGCGGAGAGGCGCGGGCTGCGCGCCGCGGCGCCCCTGCGGAGAGGGGGCAGCCAACTGCAGCACGCCCGGCTCCGCTGCCCGCGCCCGGTGGGATCCAGCCGCGAAGTCCCGCGCTCAGGGTCCCGGCCGCCCGCGTCCTCTCCGCAGGCCTGCGCCGCTTCCTGCTCCCGGCCGCGGCGTCTCGTGCCTGCGCGGGGCTAGCGTGGGCGCCGGGGCCGCAACCGGCGCGCGCGACGCGAGGGGGCCAGCGGGGGCCCTGGGGGCCGAGGAGCTGGGCGCTCGCCTGCACTGAGCCTCCTCCTCCTCATGCCGCGCCGGGCCCCGGCGCCCCACGGCCGCCGCGGGAGCTGAGCGCAGGCCAGGGCGGCGTCCCAGCCAGCGGCGAACGCGCTCCGACTGCGGCCGCCGCCAGCTGCCTGCCCGGCCGCAAGGGCGGCAGCGGCATTACCGCCGCTCGCCTGGGGTGAGGCGCCCGCGCCAGGCCCGCGGACACCAGGCGATGGGCGACCGGGCGACGCGCGCTGCGGGCGGAGCCGGGGAGCCCGAAGAGCAGGAGGCCGAGCGCCCTCGGAGCAGCGTCTGGTTGGAGAAAGAGGCGGACGTGAAAGGGCGGGGGAGCCGCAGAGGAAAACCGGGACCGGCAGGCGCGCCAGGAGACCCCCGCGGGCTCCGCGCGCTCGCTCGGAACTCGGCAGGCGGCGCTGCGCTGGGCCGGAGAAAACCTGGAGGCCCCCGCCCTCCTCGCGCCCGAAACACCGCGCGTCCTGATAGGCCGGCGCCGGGCAGCCCCCTCCCCGCGCAGGCCGCACCGCGGCCCCGCCGCCTCCTGCGTCACCGCCGCCCCCGCCCGCCCGGGGACCCCGCAGTGGCCGCGCGGCTGGGGGCTGAGGGACGCCTTGCGAGCCCGCATACATTCTGCCCTGCGGGTACATGATGAAGGATGATGTACCTGAAAGGGAAAGGGCATCTCCAAAAGGGGACTTCGCGGGTGGTATTTCCTTCCAAAATCCTCCCTCCGGGAAAAAGGTATATTTCCGACCTGGATTAATGCATCCTCCCAATCACCCCCTTCTTGTAAGAAACAGTGTCAGGATGTGGCCCGGGCCTATGTGCATCTCTTATACTCGGACTTGCCTTCACCGCTGAAGGTGAATCCTGGGTCGTCCTGGCTGTATTCAGGCAGGGCTGAGAAGACTTCTGGGCAGCGGATTAGGCCCTTGAGGGCGTCAGCCCCGTCTAGCTTCGGTAGGCAAACGATAGGGTGGCTTCATCCACCTCCTAGGCCGTGGTCTACCCTTTGTTCAAATGTTTCTTCCTGCTAGCTGAATTTGTCCAGGTCCTTAGCTGTATCACATTGGTCAAACGTGTGTGCGCAGGTGTTTCTTTTTCAACTAATCAGGAAGTGGCGGGATGCCCTACTGCCATTATTTGCTCAGTATTTCCAGATGGAACTGTCGTTGATAGCCAATAAATTTGGCCCGTTATCAGGATGTCCATGCCCTAGATCATCATTGAGCTGGTGCTATGCAATGTGGAGCCTGAAACACCTACTTTGTAAGCCCAAGCCTTTCATTAATATTAGCTGTGAGACCTGTGGAAACTAGTACTTTGTGTGAGCCTGTTTTCTCCACCCTCAAGCAGTAGATAGAATACCCCCTCGCAAGGCTGTGAGATTAAATGGGTAACTGTGTGTAATGCTAAACATGGTGTCTGGTAAGAGATTCTCTTATATCCCATTAGTTCACTAGGTGGAATCACCAAGTTCAGATTCATTGTTTAATATTTTGTTTGTTGGAGTACTTACAAGTTACTCAACTTCTCTGGCTGATTCATCTTTTTTAATGCGAAAGGTAATGACACTATTTTGTATCATTTTTAGATGCTTAAGGGAAATTCGAAATGCAAAGTGGAACAACATTGAATAACAGGAAACTCACTTGTAAAATAAAGAAAATCAAAACCTATGCTAGCCACGCAAGTCCATGAATGCTGAGGAAGCAAAAATTATGGTATTCCTCTCTCCAATCTCACTGACTTTCATTTCTCTTTATTTGCATCAGTTCAGCTGGTTGTTTATAAATCTAATGCTACCATACCACTAGTCAAAAGAGAGTTCCATATCTTTGCTGACCTAGTGGTAGACGGTTCTTCTCAGGCAAGGTTGACTTTTTCTTATTTTCTTTTTTTGAGACGCAGTCTCGCTCAGTCACTAGGCTGGAGTACAGTGTCATAATCTCAGCTCACTGCAACCTCTGTCTCCCAGGTTCAAGCTATTCTTCTGCCTCAGCCTTCCAAGTAGCTGGAACTACAAGCATGTGCCACCGCGCCCAGCTAATTTTGTATTTTTGGTACAAACGGGGCTTCACCATGTTGGCCAGGATCCACCTGTCTGGGCCTCCCAGAGTGCTGGGATTACAGGCGTCAGCCACCGCACGTGGTCAAGGTTGGCTTTTTCAAAGGAAAGCTTACTATAAAACTGAGAGAGAAGTGTTAACATTATAGAATTTGATGATTCATCTTTTTTAAAGAAATCTGGAGACTGTACAGATGAACCTAGCTGGCATAGATGACTGCCATCCATATCTCTCCTGATTTTAACCCTATCTCTTGATTTATCTTGTTCAGCAAGTGCCCCCATGGTACTTGTTAAGACTGATTGGCTCTCCTCAGGAGTAGATTTCATCTGTTGTACCAGAAAACAAGCCTAGTCGGTGCAGCCATTATTGCTAGGATTAAATTAAATGAATGAATGCCTGTAAAGAGCATGGGAGAGGCTGGTACATGGTAAGTACTATTAGAGTACTTGTAAAATTTATTTTTAGAAATCTCTCCTTTCAGTCACTCTCTGCCCACAGTAACAAATGATGGTTGTCTCTTTCTGTTTAAACACCAACTTTCCTAGTGGGTCACCCATTAAGTCTGTCTCTAATAGTCTGAGGGATGCCTCAGGGTCTCAGCTTATGTTTAAAACAGAGATAGATTAAATACTCAGTGCACAAGAAATGCTAACTGAGCCTTTCCAAACCCACAATACCAACTAATACTTCCTCAGGAGCCAAGTAAGCCCCATAACAAGAATGACCTTTCAGAAATCTAAGTCTGTTTTTTAATGCCATCAAAAAGACCTTAATCCTACAATAGTAAGACATAACTTACAACAGTAAGACAGAAATAAATTTTATTTAATGGCTTTGTTCTAAATTTATTACCACCAAGTATTCCTTTAATTCTGTCCACTGGAGACACCATGCTCTTAAGTATTTGGGCATCAAACTGAATAAATGAAGTCATAATTAATGGTTTTCTAGTTGTATTAATAAGAAGTATACACAGAGATTGCAATTAAAACAAAAAAGGAAAATATACTTGTTAATGAGATGGACGACATTTTGCTTGGTCTGTGCTGTCTGAATGAGGGTGAACAATATACACTGTTTTGAATTTGCTCACAAGCACGGTAAAATAAAAATATCTAATTTTTTTCTGTTAATTGGGGGGGAAGAAATGAAAGAAAATAGCATATAGGATCTCACTTTTATGGTAACTAAAGATTCAGATCTTTGTGTTACAATTACCAATTAAAAACAGTAATTATGTCTGTTTAAATGTATGGTCTCAGCATCTGAGACCCAGCTAAAGAAAATTATTAGTTTTATGAATTATGCTTATACAATTGTATTTGTATTTATATAATTGTAGATCATATAAAAGACATTGGCATGATTCATAAAATGGAATATTTATATACATATAGAGTATATACATATATATGTATATATAAAATTCCAAAATGTTGTGGTACAGATGCTTCTCATAAATAAAAATTTGTGTGATGAATATGGTCAGATCTCTGCTGAGAAAAAAGATATTGGTCCCTGTATCTTATTTAGATTATATAAAAGAAATTTTAAATAAGTCTTTCACTTAAGAACAAATATCACTGTAAAGCCAAATTTTAATACTTCTCTATATATGAAATGATATAGAATGGATGATAATTCTGTATTGTAGTTAAACTTTTAAAAGAAAACCACTGTAGTGGTAGCAGCCCTACTTCAGCATTTGACCCAAATTTCTTACTAATCTCAAAGTGCCTGAACTCTTTTATCTTAGATCCAAGATCATTCTTTCATATCATACAAATGTCCTAGCATTTTCAAGCCTGTCAATCACTTTGATATCATTTTCACAACATCCCTTTGGGTTTGGTATGGTAAATATTATGTTTTTTTGAGCTGGGGAAACTAAGGTGCAGGAGGTAAAACACCTGGCCTGAGGCCACATAGTATAAAGGTAGCAGAGCTGGAAAGAAAGCCAAGATGCTATCAGCCTAGTTCAGTGAACTTCCTACAAACCACACCAGCGCTTATCTTCACACAGATTGCTTTGCCTATCAGGCTAAGTATATTATTCATGTGTTTTTTCATTTCTTAAGAAATAAATATATGTAATCCATCTTTCAAACTTTCTTTACCAATTTTGCCTTAGACATCTCTGTGAAGAAACTGTATAAAATGTACTACATGGTACATAAAGTAAAGGTCCCACTATGTGGTCCTTGCCTGTCATCAGTTGGTAAGTCAAAATGAGAAAAGGGATGGTGTTAGCTTTATTCATTCTTTTTCTCACCTTAATGCTAGGTTTATTCAATAGATTGCTGGTTTTGCCTGATAGGGAATCTGAGCTGCCAACTAAAAGCCACTAACTGCCCTCAGACTCAAGGCCAGCAAATCCTAGGCTGACTGGAAAAAGAAGCCAGTCCAACAGAAATGAGAATTTGTTCAGAATACTAGGGTTGGAAGGTGGGAGGGCAGACAATGAGAAGCAAAGACAGAAGATTGAGAGTTAGTCCAAGGTGGGCAGATCACGAGGTCAAGAGATCAAGACCATCCTGGCCAATATGATGTAACCCTGTATCTACTAAAAATACAAAAATTAGCTAGTCATGGTGGTGGGTACCTGTAGTCCCAGCTACTTGGGAGGCTAAGGCAGGAGAATCACTTAAACCCAGGAGACGGAGGTTGCAGTGCACTGTACTCCAGCCTGACAACTGAGCAAGACTCTGGCTCAAAAAAAAAAAGAGTCCAGTCACAGAACATGGTGCCCAGTACCTTCCATGGTAAAGGATGATACTTAAGCACTCACCAGCATAAATAGAAGAGGCTGGGCCAGGCACAGTGGCTC